CCTGCGTCTCCGACGGCCACATAGTCTCTACTACACACATCGCTCCTGCGTCTCCGACGGCCACATAGTCTCTACAATGCACATCGCTTCTGCGTTTCCGACGGCCCCATGGTCTCTACAATACACGTCGATTCCGCGTCTCTCACGGCCACGACTATTCTCTACTCCTGGCCGCTGGGCAAAGCGCTAGCAAAACGCTGGTGCCGCTGGAGAAACGCTCGAGAAACGCTGGTGAAGCTAGATCGATAGCTATGCTTCCCGTGCCCTCGCTACGCCAGCGTGCGCTAGCGTGCCGCTGGCGTACGCTAGCGTGCCGCTAGCGCACGCTAGCGTACGCCAGCGTGCCGCGCTGTTGACGTCTGGGTGAAGCTAGATCGATATGCATCCTCTCTTCGGCACTGCCGCTGGCGTACGCTGGAAGCCTACGCTACGCTGCCGCAAAGTATAAACGCAGCCTTAATCACTTCCTCGCCTGGTTACTCGATATCGTTCTTCTTATTCTGCTTTCACTCTGTTTCATTTCAGGACATGCATGCCTTTTTAGGCTTTATTAGAACAGTAGTATTATGCTTGATTGGTTGTCATGGGAATGCTACAGCTTCTCGTTTTTAGTTATAATTCTTTCACCTGTTTTGCGCCTTACGATGTTGTTGAGTGGTATATTTATGCGATATGGCCTACTGCTTCGACTGAATCGTCGCCTTCAGAGTCGCATAAATATACCACTCAACAACATCGTAAGGCGCAAAACAGGTGAAAGAATTATAACTAACATGCAGAAATTGCAAGAAACGAGAAGCTGTAGCATTCCCATGACAACCAATCAAGCATAATACTATTGTTCTAATAAAGCCTAAAAAGGCATGCATGTCGTGAAATGAAACAGAGTGAAAGCAGAATAAGAAGAATGATATCGAGTAACCAGGCGAGGAAGTATTACTGTACCGAGCGCTGAAGCTTTTCGCTCTGAGCTGTTGGTTGTAGATGCTTGAGCAAACCGATTAAAATGCATAAATCACTTTGCAACTTTAGGGGTTGGTAGCACTGGTAGGTGGTCACGACAATCGTAACTTGCCGCTCGGTCGAGTGCAGCGATAGAGGCGGCCTTTTCCCAATTTAGTCTGTCGTTTGGGGCACTGGACGTCATGTACACTACGACATTGCCACCTATAACCTAGAAACAATTTCATTTGATGGCACGACGTCGCACGCGTCGCCCACAAGCGCGGCGAATTACGATTGTCTCGCCACATGCTCATTAGCTCCAGCATATATACATTAAAAAAACATTCAATCCCTGGTAGAATACACCTAAAATATGTCTCAAGGCGCCGAACAGCGACACAGTTATATCTTAAGTGATCTTTGACTGATGTTTCCAGGAGGCAGAATGCTGAGTGAACTGGCAAATAGTTTATAGCACTCGGATTCGCCATGGAACAACATTAAAAAAGGAAGCAATTTCACAGTCATAAAATTTTTCAAGTACAGACTCGGATCTTTTTCCTGTTCAACTCACTGAGTCCCGAACGTCTTTACATCAGACAGCCGCTGTTATTCAAAGAAAATACATCCCTCATCCTATGGATAGGCAACGCGTGGCTGTGTATTTCATTTGAACATGGTGTCGGAGACGTTTTTCCGTGGAATATTTCCATCTGCGACAACTGCCATCCGGTCCTGTGCTGGACAAAGACACGCTTATAATCGTCCCAAAATGACAGCATCCCACCAAAAACGCAGCCGTCGTCATATTCAAATTAAATGTGAAGCCACACCTCATGTTCATGATATGGTGCACATTTCATTTTACCAGCATTGAATAAACCAGTTGATTCAGAAAGCCAAAAAAAGATCAAATTTTTACTCTAGGAATACAGCAATACTGCTCGAAATCGTTTCTGGCAAAAAGTTTGAAGGCCCTAGTGCAATAACTAGGCTTTTGAAGCCTTAGCGAACAGCTTGTTATTAAAGTGGTCAGTAGAAGCTCAGTGCCTAAGGCTATTCCCTTACTCGTAGTCGTTTCTTCGCACTTTTTTCTTTTCGGCGTCTGATCATAAGATTCTAGAGAAAGAAAAGGAGAAGAAGCGCACTACTTCAGAAAACACCCTGTTCAAAGTTGTTTTATGATGAAAACTGATGTTTTACGCCACTGTTCGCGTTCCGAAAGTTATCACAAGAATAAGAGTAAAAGCGGCCCTGGTGGCGTAACAGATAGCACACTCGCCCGGTCAAAGAAAAACATCCCTCTATCCTATGAGATAAGGCAACGCCGTGGCTGTGTATTTCATTTAAACATGGTTCGGAGACGTTTCTCCGTGGAATATTTTCATCTGAGACAACTGATATCCTGTGCTAGACAAAGACACGATTATAATCGTCCCAAAATGACAGCATCCCACCAAAAACGCAGCCGTCGTCATATTCAAATTAAATGCGAAGCCACACCTCATGTTCATGATATGGTGCACATTTCATTTTACCAGCATTGAATAAACCAGTTGATTCAGAAAGCCAAAAAAAGATCAAATTTTTACTCTAGGAATACAGCAATACTGCTCGAAATCGTTTCTGGCAAAAAGTTTGAAGGCCCTAGTGCAATAACTAGGCTTTTGAAGCCTTAGCGAACAGCTTGTTATTAAAGTGGTCAGTAGAAGCTCAGTGCCTAAGGCTATTCCCTTACTCGTAGTCGTTTCTTCGCACTTTTTTCTTTTCGGCGTCTGATCATAAGATTCTAGAGAAAGAAAAGGAGAAGAAGCGCACTACTTCAGAAAACACCCTGTTCAAAGTTGTTTTATGATGAAAACTGATGTTTTACGCCACTGTTCGCGTTCCGAAAGTTATCACAAGAATAAGAGTAAAAGCGGCCCTGGTGGCGTAACGGATAGCACACTCGCCCGGAAAGCGTCAGGTGCGGGTTCGACTCCCGCCTAGGTTTCGACTTTTGCCCATAACTAAGCATTTTTGTGATAACCTGTTCAAAGTTTATTAATACGAAGAACTACTGCACCAAATGGCCCGCAACATTACACTGGCGCCACTCTGAATAAGAAGGTCCGAAAACAAAAAAAAGATCAAAAGCTACGAGCTTTTGAGCCTACATAACAAACTGTTGCATCTGCAGAATGTTAATCTATTTCGCAGCATTAGAGTTTGACAATTGGAAAGCCAAATATTGAAAAGGCCACACATGTAAGCGAATAACGATTAACAAATATTGGTACATAGCACGTCCCAGCACAAGTCTCGTTATGAGCGCAGTATAAAAACCATAAAATCACGTGAAAGGCAGCTATAACTGCTGAACATTCTTGAAGCCACTTTGAACTTTGGGTGCTAGTTTCTTGAGAGACTTTGGAAGTCTTCTGCAGTTAGCAAAGACAAATTCTGAGTAAGGAGTCCTAACGATATCAACCACGTCGAAATGTATATACGAAAATATGAAATGCAGGAAATAAATCGATTGAAAAGAAATGACCCATACGCGTAACAACCCAGGGAAATGTTTCTAAGCACAAAACTTTAGAAGAAACATGTAAGGACAGCCTCCAATGTAGGGGATCTAGCAACTCTGTAAGGTAACTACGGCAACATAAAGTAAAATGAATTCATTAAAACTGATATAATAATACCATCACTTGGACTCGAGAATTGTGGTGTAATCCTTATGTAGTGAGTTTTTGGGGAACTTTTCTACAAAGAAGTAATTTAGTTTCCGATACGCACGTACCCTTAGACGTGCGGAATATGAAGGAAGAATCGAGCAAGGCAAAAAACGCGGAAAAGTTATAGAAACCTAGAATGGTAACCTAAGATACTACTCGAGGTTACGGATTCCTCCCAGGTTACAACTTTTCTCTTCAGTAGTACCCCTTCTTTGGAAGAAAAGAAAAAATTAAACGCACTTAATTAGACTTCTTCAGCATGACATCGGGAAGTAATCACACCCATCTGCACGAACCCCAACTTTAAAATGTACTCCTTTCACAATTAAAATATTATCGCAAATCTGATGATAAAACGCAGCAGATATCGGTAGACTGTAAGATTTAACCTCACGCAAAAATACAACTTTGCAAAATAATCTCTAATCATTAGATTGTTTGATATGTATTGAAAAAGTTGAATTGAATTTGCACAAGCTCATCGGTCAATGGAGTCAAAGAAGCTCCTATCAAAAGAAAACTGCTCGAAAGTACATATGTACTTCAGGCAGGAAAGATGGCAAGCCGACTCATTTCTGAGAAATGCAGCCATGCATCATCGACGCGTCCATGATAACCGCAACTGCGCAAGAGAATCGGACGTATGAAGGCGCAAAGATGCCTGTTACACTGGGCATGCCCCTTCAGTCTTGACGTAAAGTGACGACAATCAATCCGCACTAGTTTTACTTCTACTGCGGTAATGCTGAGAAAA